TTACTATAAATTCTACACAAACTCAAGTGTTACCTGAACAACAGGAAAGCCAATATTTATCTTCTCAAAATAATATATAATTACTATATTGTGATTACACTGGAATTTACTTGTAACATCTTTAGCAATATCTTTATTTGTGCAGGTTCCATTTAAGAATATTTCTCCCACCCAGAAATTTGGTGTCCTAGCATGTTTGTTTCATTATTTAAAAAGAAAAAGAAAATAGGAAGCCTCTGAAAAAATGTAAGCAGAGACCTAGTCAGGTATTTATTTTAGAAAGATGTCTCTGGAACCAGTTATAGAATAGATTGTAATAGAGCTAGACTGGGCCAAGAAGAATAGTATGAAAGCATCCAAGCAAAAGATGATTAAGCCAAGACTTCTGGTTCAGGACAAGATGAAGTAACAAGAATAGAATTTACCATCCCCCTCCTGAAACTAAAACAAAAGAACAAAACATATAAAACAATGGTTTTCAAGACATTGGAGATCAGCCTACAATGGACAGTAATCTTTGAGAGACGGTAAACAAATGAGGCAAATCATACAATTGACTTCAGAGGGAAGAAATGGAAATACACTTTTGTAAAGTTTTTATACTATGAAACAAGGTATAATAATATGTTTTAAAAGTAGACTATGCCACCCTAACCAGTGTGGCTAGTGAGTAGAGCATCGGCCTGCAGACTGAAGGGTCCCAGGTTCGATTCCAGTCAAGGGCATGTACCTTGGTTGTGGGCAACATCCTCAGTGGGGAGTGTGCAGGAGACAGCTAAATCAGTGTTTCTCTCTCATCGATGTTTCTAACTCTCTATTACTCTCTGTAAAAAATCAATAAAATATATTTTTAAAAAATAAAATAAAAGTAGACTATGCCTGGCTGGTATAGCTCAGTGGTTGAGCCAGGTGTTATCAGCCCAACCTTTAGGGAGAAAAATGGGGCGGAGATTGATTTCCATCATGTGGCCAATGGGTCAATCAACCATGCCTATCCAATAGGACCCCAATAAAAACTCTGCACACTGAGGCTCAGTTGAGCTTTCTGGTTAGCAATCACATTAATGATTGATGGACCAGAAGGATGATATGTCCTGATTCCACAGGGAGAGGACACAGAAACTCCACATTCAAGATCCTGGCAGACCTTGCCTTATTGGTCTCTTCTTTTAGCTGGTCCTAATTTTTATCCTTTGTAGTAAAACTTAAATCATATTTATAGCACTTTTCTGAGTCCTGTGAATCATTTAGTACAGCGATTTTCAACCTTTTTCATCTCATCATACACATAAACTACTAAAATTCTGCAGCACACCAAAAAATATATGTTTTGCCGGTCTCATACACACACACACACACACACACACACACACACACACACAAAGGTATAATTTTGATTCATTCACACCAGACGGCTATTGTTGTGTTTGCTGTTGTCATTTTTTAAATTTGACAATCTAAGGGAAAATAGGTCAGTCCCCCTGACTAAATTGTCATTTATTGCATGTTTTAAAAATTCTTTCAACACACCAGTTGAAAATTGCTGATTTTGCAAATTATCAAACATGAGGGGATAGTGGAAAACCCCTAATTTTATAGCTAGTTGGTCAGAGCACAGGTGGCCTGGAAACACCCAGAGCTTGTGGTTGGTTGGTATCTGAAGTAAGGGCAGTCTTGTTGGGGCCTGGGCCCTTAAATTACGAAGTCAGCATTAACTCTAAGTAACTAGTAACAGAATTGCATTACATTATTTCTTTTTTTAAAATATGTTTTTATTGATTTCAGAGGGAGAGAGAGATAGAAACATCAATGATGAGAAAGAAGCATTGGTTGGCTGCTTCCTACATGCTCCCTAACGGGGATGCAGCCCACAACCCAGGGCATGTGCTCTGACCAGGAATCCAACCGTGACCTCCTGGCTCATGGGTCAATGCTCAATCACTGAGCCACACTGGCCAGGCTTTATTACATTATTTCACTTAATCACGCTCTCTGTCTCATTTTACTCATCTGTAAATGGAAATGAGGAAATATACTAAATTCTAAATCATAGTGTTTACACTTCATAATATTTTTGAGAGAAATAAATTAGTTACAATATGTAAAGCACTCAGAACAGTGTCTAGCACATACTAAACAATACATAAACATTAGAGTCATTTTTGAGTTGTTGTTTCTATTATTAAAAGTCCAGAGTTGGCTAATGTAGAGATCACCAGGCTTTCCTGCTAAAATTTAAATAACACAGAGAAAAGACTGGCTCTTAACATTAGTCAGAAATCTTAACAACACTAATCACATCGATGGTACTGACATTGGCCAACTAATGTTCTGAACATAAATCAACACTGCTGCTATCTACATTATCTAGTGAAACTCAGACCAGCCAGTTTGAGCCAGTGCCAGAATTACATGCTTTTTGTAGCTCTGGAAATCATCATTCCAACGAGATTGGGGGCCTTGCTCTAAATAATGAAGCAAATTGTTGTGAGAAATAGTATACAAGATTCTCGCTTTTAGTTTTTTAAACCACCAGGCATGACATATGATTAGCAAATCCTAATGGTACATCCTAGTATATATCACTTCTCAGCTTAGCTGCGAACTTCAACACTGTGCATTGTGTGGACCCTAAGAAAAAAGATTAATTTGATGTGAACCCTGAGAGGAAATTTATCTGAGGAAATGGGCTCCTCATAGTCAATTGAGGGCCCAAACTTTATAAATAATAAAAACCCTAATGGCCATTTTCAGACAGGGACTTCTCAGGCACTCTGTGTATGGGGAAGAACCTCAAAATGAACTCTTAGCTTCCCACACTTTGCCCCGTTTGCTTACATCATCTGAGTCAATAACTGCAGGTAAACCCTGGTTTCCTCTTTCTACCAAAAGACTGAGACCTGCCCTGTCTAATCAGAACTGCATAATTTGGATACCTCATGTACATAAAATAGATCTAATGGGAACCTGGGGTGGAACTTTCACAATAAAAGGCAGCCTCATCTTTGTCTCCAAGGAACATAATCTAGGTTGCTACCTGAATCTGTGTTTCCCAGGCTGCAGCTTCCTTTGCTCAATTAAATGCTTTAAATTCTTTATTATGATCTAAAAGTAATTTTTATTTACAACTGAAATGTTTTTTTCTGCTCATCAGTAATGGGGACCAACTCGTGAAAACTCACTTCATTGTTGTCTATCTTCCTGTCATATAGAACACAGTTGGAAGTATTTCAAATAGTTGCTAAGTCCATAAATAAACTTCTTACTAGAAAATTGTCTTGGGCTGTTTTCTAGTTTTATTATTTAGTCCCTCTGTTTCTGCCCTTTCTTGATCTCTTTTCCTGCCAGCTACTTCTGTATGAGTCAGGAATGTTCTCCCTGCCATCTTTCATTCTAAGTTCCTACTTATGAAACCCACTCTTGAAACCCAGGCGCCATGTCCTCATGTTAGTACAGAAAAATAAGTAAATTAAAATTACACGGTAGTAATAGGAGATTTTTCCTGGCAGTGCTAGTATAATTCCAAAGATAATTTCACTGATGGATTTCTCATCAGTAGACAGCCTGAGTTTCTAAGGAGCTATTACAAAAAAGCCTCCACCATGAACTCAGCTTCTAAAGATTTCCAAGAAGCTGTCCATATAACTAATTTATGCTTCTTCTAAACTGATAAAAACACAGAGTTAATAAGAACTATCAGCCTGCCCATCCTAGAACCAGGATTAGAATATAAGTCTACTTCAAATTTAATGCTTTCAATCTATATTTTAGAAGATCCCTTCCAGATCTAAAATTCAATAATTCTAGCGTAATAATTTAAGCAGAAATAGAAACTACCTAATTCCTACCAAAACTGGTCTTCTCTACCACCAGGCCAGTGCTTTCAACCAAGATGGTATGGAAAAGCACTGGCCTAGAGAACAGAGGACCAAGTCTAAGTCCTGGCTCTACTATTAGCTAAATGCATGACAACAAATAGTAATTTTATAAATCTAGGCCTGAGGTTCCTCATCTGCAAAACCAGGGACCCTGGAGGTCACTTAATGTTTAAATCCGCTTAGTATCAACACCTACCCTAACAGTAGGGAAGAGATTGCTTCCAATTCTACTGGTATCAAAAGAAGCTCTAGCCACACATAAAAACAGAGAGAAGTCCTGTTTTTCCTTTCCCTGTCAAGTCTCACACAATTAGACATGTTCTTCCACTCAGAATTCTGAAGCAAATATTACAGAAAAAATAATAGTCATGGTTTAGTGGTTTTACACATGAAAAAGATCAAAAGTTTTTATTCAATAAGTTCAACATGAGTCAGCAGAATGATATGACTGCTGAAGGGCCAGTATCTAATCAGATTGTACTAATAGACACACAGGGTCCAGAACTGAGGAGCTGATGGTTCTGCTCCACTCTGTGCTGATCAAACCCTACCAGAGGGACTGTATGCAACTCTAGTAGCTCTGATCTAAGAAAGACATTAACAATAATGTTCACAGGCAGGAAACCCAGGATGAGGAGGAGGCTGATAAAACATTTTTTCTTCAAAGAACTAGGGCTACTTAACCTAAAAAAGGGAGACTCAGGGGAGAGACCATCTTTCTTCCAATCTTTGAATCATCTAAGACTCAGCAGAGCTGGGACCAAATGGGAAGCTATAGAAGAAAGGGGCTGCCTCAAATGGCCAGCAAGCTCCCTATCTCTGGAGATGAAGAAGCAGAAACTGGGGGTGGAGGGGAATATTGAGGAGAAGGATAGGGATAGGATTGAATTCAATTATAATTCCAGTGAAGAATTACCTCAGTTCTGTTTGGAGCACCTTCCCCCATTCCCAGCAAATGACTATTCATTCTTATCTAGTGACTGTATATAGAAACATTTCAATAATTTGCTCTTTACTAAGCATTTCATACTCATGTCCTTTTAAAGCCAAGTTGCTGCCTATCTTCTTCTCTCTTCTCTAAATCTGCCAGCAACTAGGATGGACAACCAGGCTGCCTATTACCTTCTGAGGACTTCCAGGCCTTCCATAGGTCCTCCACGCTGATGAGCTTATCCTCACCATGGAAGGTGTTGTGTTTCACCGTCGGGTCATGGTAATTGAGGTCTTCCCTCAGGAACTGCAAGGAAAAAGTGCACAAGTCACAAGAGATACCTAGGAGCCAGCCCACCAAGATAGCCATAAAGGTCATTGAGCTATCCACAGCACACCCTCTCTACCCAATGCACAAGTGTATCACATCATTCATGTATCCTTCCATGTGCCTATGTCCTAGTTTCCAACTAGATAGCCTTTTCTTTTTTGTAATATGTTTCACTTGAAAAAATAAATATGAGTAGGAAATTTCTTCATTTTTTAATCATGGAAAGATAATAAATGATTGTTAACTGGAATTCAATAAGCCAGAAGAGGAAAGAAGGGAGAAAGAATTAACAATGTTTGAACACTTAATTATACATTAAGCAATATTCTAAGAAATTCTACAGTATTTTCTCATCTAATTCTCACAACTAATGAATTATCATATCTGTTTTACAAATGAGAACAGTAATATTCTCAAACATAATGCAGTTGGCCCCAAATCACATTAAGTTTCTTTAGACAGGTTAAGTTATTTGCTGGGAGGGAGGAAGGGAGGGAGACAGAGAGCTGAGAGACACATAGACTGGTTGCCTTCCACACGCACCCTGACTGGGGCTAGGGATTGAACCTGCAAGAATATGCAACCCAAGTATGTGCCCTTAACGGGAAATCAAACCTGTGACCCTTTGGTGCTCAGACCAATGTTCTAACCAGCCAGGGAAGCCCAGTTTTTGAGTTACTTCACCTGATGGCCAAGTAGACAGAGATGAGCTGTCCCTACTGAGTCATACCCAGATTGCAAATACATGCCAAAATAAATGTTGTTGTTTTAAGCCACTAAGCTTTGGGGAAGTTTGTTATACAACATTACATTACTGAAACAGTTGTTCAAGGTTATAGCTGATAAGTGATGGAGTTAGTATTTCAACCCAAGATATCTGGTTTTACAGTCCAAATTTCCCCCCTGTACTGCATATGCTGTCCTTTAATTACCTAGATTTCTTTTCATAATATACTTCTACAGGAAAGAAGAAAAACAAAAGGAATCTAGGTTCTCCATTCTTTTGTACTAACCCATATTTCTAATTTCTAGCTTTTAGAAATTTAACTGGTAATTAATTTCATGAATACTCAATCAGCCTGATCCCTATAACCTCATTAGTATGTAAAGGACTGAACACTGATCACTGCTTTCCACCGAGCCTCAAACATCAAAGACATGTGCAATTCTGATCATTACTCTCACAAAAGCACATTTTAGTAGGATTTTCAGGAAATGTCTTCCTCTCCATCTTTTTTTATCTGGGGTTCAGAAAAGGGCCTGAACCCAGAGTAATGCCAATAAATGTTGTTGACTAAATGAACAGATGATTGCCAGTATGGTCCCAGATTCCCTGGAACCATAAACAAGCATTTATGGCTTTGCAGACATTGAGACAGCTGGGCTTAATGACCCTAGGCAAGAAGTTTGAAGAGAGTCCACAATGGAGCATTCTCAACCTAGTCAGAGTATAGCCTACTATGCACAAGAACTATAATGTAGCACTGTCCAATAAAACCTTCTACAATGATGGACATGTTCAATATCTGTCCTGTCTAAACAGTTGCCATTAGGCCCGTGGTCGACAAACCGCAGCTCGCAAGCCACATGTGGCTCTTTGGCCCCTTGAGTGTGGATCTGCCACAAAATACCACAGGCGGGCGCGCACATACAGTGCAATTGAAACTTCGTGGCCCATGCGCAGAAGTCGGTATTTTGTGGAAGAGCCGGTATTTTGTGGAAGATCCACACTAAAGAGGCCAAGGAGCCGCATGTGGCTCACGAGCCACGGTTTGCCAAGCCACAGTTTGCAGACCACTGCACTAGGCACATATGGCTATTGAGCGCTCATAATGTGGCTTGTATGGCTAAATAACTGGAAATTTTAAAACATTAATTTAGATTTAAATGGCTACATGTTAGAGTGCAGCTCTAACATATTCTATCAACTACCTGGCATATGGGTATGGTCAGCTATACCTCAAAGGAGGCTAGAATGATGTAGGGAAATCAAGATCTCTGGTTAGGTAAGATGGTGAAAGCAATGTTCACATACAGTACACGGGTTAACTGCTCTTTGTGCCCTCTCGCCACAACTAAATTAAAGTACCTCTGACATCAGAGGGTTAGGTTCTCCAGCTCCCCAATTCTCATTTAAAAGTGTTGATAAAAGCTATTTTTTTTTAATATATTTTATTGGTTTTTTACAGAGAGGAAGGGAGAGGGATAGAGAGTTAGAAACATCGATGAGAGAGAAACATCAATCAGCCGCCTCCTGCACATCTCCCACCGGGGATATGCCCGCAACCCAGGTACATGCCCCCGACCGGAATCGAACCCGGGACCCCTCAGTCCGCAGGCCGACGCTCTATCCACTGAGCCAAACCGGTTTCGGCAAAAGCTATTTTTTAATAAAGATTAAGTAGGTCACATGGTGAAGATCCCAGAGCAAGGAGATTTTGTCAATTCTTAGGAAAATAAGCTATTTAAAGTATTTTTTTATTTTTTAACTAGATACCCGGTGCACAAAAATTTGTGCACTTGGGGGTGGGGGTGGGGGTCCCTCAGCCTGACCTGTGCCCTCTCGCAGTCTGGGACCCTCGGGGGATGACCATCTGCTGGCTTAGGCCCGCTCCCTGGGGGGGTTGGGCCTAAGCTGGCAGTCAGACATCCCTCTGGTAGCCCAGGAGCCCTTGGGGGATGTCCACTTGCCAGCAGGGAGTAGGCCTAAGCTGCAGTCTGACATCCTTAGCGCTGCTGAGGAGGTGGGAGAGGCTCCCACCACCACCGCTGTACTGGCAGCCATCAGCCTGGCTTGTGGCTGAGCAGAGCTCCACCTGTGGGAGCGCACTGACCACCAGGGGGAAGCTCCTGCATTGAGCATCTGCCCCCTGGTGGTCAGTGTGTGTCATAGTGACCAGTCATTCCCAGTCGTTCTGCTGTTAGGGTCAATTTGCATATTACCCTTTTATTATATAGGAGTGCCTAGCCAGCCTGGGTGAGGGGCTGATGGCTGTTTGCAGGCTGGTCACAGCACCTTCAGTGTGGGGGTCCCCACTGGGGTGCCTGGCTAGCCTGGGTGAGGGGCTGAGGGCCGTTTTCAGGCTGGCCACACCCCCTTCAGGGTGGGGGTGGGGGGGGTCCTGCTGGGGTGCCTGACCAGTCTGGGTGAGTGGCTGATAGCAGTTTGCAGGCTGGTCAAGTCCTCCAGCAGGGACCCTCACCCCATGAGGGTGTGGCCAGCCTGGGCGAGTGGCTGATGGCTGTTTGCAGGCAGGCCACAGCCCCTTCAGGGTGGGGGTCCCCGCTGGGGTGCCTGGCAAGCCTGGGTGAGGGGCTGATGGTTGTTGGCAGGCTGGCCACAGCCCCTTCAGGGTGGGGGGTCCTGCTGGGGTGCCTGGCGAGTCTGGATGAGGGGCTGATGGCTGTTTGCAGGCTGACCAAGCTCCCCAGGGGGACCCTCACCCCATGAGGGTGTGGCCATCCTGAGTGAGGGGCTGATGGCTGTTTCCAGGCTGGCCACAGGCCCCAGCCACCCAAGCTCCCAGTGGAGGCTGGCTGGAAGCAGGTATCTGGGATTTATTTGTCTTCTATAATTGAAACTTTGTTGCCATGAGCAGAGGCCACAGCCACCTCAGGGCAGGCGGGAAGCTTGGCTTCCTCTGTCGCCCGGGCAACCAAGCCTCCTGCTTGCTCCAGCTCCGTGGCTGCCGGCCGCCATATTGGTTGGGGTAATTTGCATATAGTCGCTCTGATTAGCTGGTGGGCGTGGCTTGGGCATAGCAAAGGTACAGTCAATTAGCATCTTTGTCTTTTATTAGTGTAGATCAGGGGTCCTCAAACTTTTTAAACAGGGGGTCAGTTCACTGTCCCTCAGACCGTTGGAGGGCCAGACTATAGTTTAAAAAAAAACTATGAACAAATTCCTATGCACACTGCACATATCTTATTTTGAAGTAAAAAAACAAAACGGGAACAAATACAATATTTGTATTTGCATGTGGCCCACGGGCTGTAGCTTGAAGACCCCTTCCTCCCTTCCTCTCAGCTTTTAGGCCATCTGACATTCAATTTATTATGTGCTAAAAGTTGTGAACCTTAACATTTTCCCCAAGTTGCCATCCAGTTATTATAACCCCATTTGTTAAATTATTTGTCTTCCATTCCGTTTTGAAAAACATCTATAATAATAAAAGCATAATATGCTAATTAGACCGGACATCCTTCCTTCCAGATGCAGCCAGGGCTGCAGCTGCGGGATGGAGGCAGCCGCTGTGGCTGCGAGGGAGGGATCCAGGCAGCCGTCACTGCTGCAAAGGCCTACTCTTGTACAAATTTCGTGCATCAGGCCTCTAGTGATTTAATAATAAATTAAGCCCTTACATATAGGATATATTTCTAGGTTCTCCATTCTTTTGTACTAACCCATATTTCCATTTTTGTGTTAACATTTGACTATTTTATTATACTTTTTATTTTACTTTATACTTAAAAAGTTTTTTTCCAATATCTGGGCCCCATCATCCCTTGGCTCTTCTATTTCAATGTTGTTAATTTTATTGAGAGTCTAATTGTTCTCACTGGGGACCTAAAGTGATGAGTTCACTAGACCTTAAACACAGACATTGAGACATCTCAGCGAAGACACAGTCACAGGCAGTCTGAGACAGCCAGTCTGGAGACATAAATGTATTCATTTATTCAACAAATATAAGATTTCTATGTGCCAGGCATAGTTCCAGGCATTAGAAATGCAGTTAGTAAACAGCACATAGAAATTTTTGTCTTCATTGAGCCAACGGAACAGTGAAGTGCTCACTCTCTCTTACCCCAGCTTGTTCAAACCTGCTGTTGTTCCCATGGCCCTTAGGTTAATAGCTCCTGCTTTACACATACTAATCATGAGAGGAATTCTGCTTGGGGCTTGAGTTTTTACAAAAACAGCCCCTCCCATTTTCCCTTCTGTTGATATAAAAGAAGCCTGAACTCTGTACTTT